TACAAATCTTAATCCATCATAGTTGATCATTAATTTAGTTAGATGTGATAAATGTATTTTTGTCTCACTGAGAAACTGCTCGATACAATTCAGTATTGTTAGAGACTGAAGTGTCTCTCATCTGCAACTGTGATCGAAAATTAATAACCCTAAGTTTTTTAAGCGAAGAAAAAAAACTCCATGTTTGAATGAAATTTTATCGTGTATTGACAACTTTCTAACACGACTGAAGCCTATTGGTGATAATGTATTGCCAATATATCGAAGATAATCAAACACGAACGGTAAGGAAAAAACATGACATATGACACCATTAACTATGTAATTTAGTATACATTATACTTGTTGATATCCTATGTTAATAAAAGTTTGTTGAATATCTTCGTTCGATGAATAATGAGTTAAACGATGTAGTTCAACTTCAGTATTGATATGAAAAGTAAATTTACGAAGACATGGTATATGTATAAGAATTTTATCATTAATTTGAGTAGCATCGATAAATGTAGTTCGTTTGTCATTAATAATATCCAACGTTAATTCTTCAAGTTTTATCATACGATGAAGCAGAGACAAAATTCGAGTGTCATATTCATCAGTTGGACAACAACATGTTAATGAGAAACAATTCATATTAGATAGATCAGTCGAAAAAAAAACCAATCAATATTTGTAAATATATTATTATTGATTATAGAGAAAAAGGTTTCGAAAAATGAATGATTTTTGAAACTTTTCACACACAAAAAATAATCAACTATTAATCTGATAATTCAAATCTTTTAAATTGAAAAAAAAATCATTTAATAAACATATGAACTTATCATATTGTAAATAGATGATATATCATCATCCATCCAATCAATGTCAACAAAAAATCTAGTCAATTGTTTGAGACAACCATCAAGTAAAGCAAGACAATCTTCAAAACGACAAATATCCACACATAATTTGTTAAGATTTAATGACAACCACGTAGTCGAAGCTAAATCATTAATAGATAAAAGTTGAACACGTCCAATAATAGACAAGTGTTTTAGATTTTCAAAAACTTTTTGGAAGTATATCAATGCAAAACCGATCTAGTGTTGAATTAGCAATTGACAAAACATCATCAGTTCTGGTTATTAATGTAAAATTAAGATACTTAGTAAAAGCTTCTTCTCTTACTAGTATATCAAGTCGTTGATTATCAACATCCAATAATGAATAGAGAACATCCAAACTGTTAAGTTTTTTTTTTAAATAATAAGTAATATTTCATCGGGTAGATCAAGTGTATCTTTTTTTTATATTCATTTCCGTCATTGAATAAATTGAACGGATGACCTCGTCAAAAAACCAATATATAGCATCGATGAATAGTTCAAAGAATTCTTTAATAAATATTTTTTCCTTTTTCTTCTTATTTACACATTATCGATAGAAACACATCGAGAAATCTTGCATCATTATGCATATTAAAGAAAATATGATAGACATATAAAGAGTATTCTATGATTATCTCATTAAAGATCATTCAACATTCTCATATTAAAATAAAATAAAACTACTGATTTTTATATCGACTAGACTTTCGTATTTTTTCAGATACGATGAGCCGACACCTCGAAAAGATTTGTTTGCAATAAAATACTATTATTAATGTCAATTTCAGAGATAAGTGGCCGTGGGCATTTTTTGAATAACTTTTCATAGAAATTAGATAGAGACCTGCGGTTTTCATCGTTAGAAAGAGCAGATGAAGTTGCATCGAACCATATATAGAAAGATTTTTCTAACTACTTTTCTAATGGTTTTACATAAAACTTCAAGAAAAACAGCATGCCTCTCATGGTCGCGATATTAATTTATTGATTTTTAGAACTGCGCTAGAACTGCCAAAGAAAGAGCTACAAAACCATATCAGGATTCTACCCCTAGCAACTATCAGTGAGATATCCAAACCATCGGAGCACCATTTACCACCTTGTTTTTTCAAAAAAATAATCGAAAAATGTAAGTTTTTGTAGTATTTTGATAGAAAAATCACTTTTTTAACGTAGGAGAAAAAAGCAATTCTTTGAAAATGTTTGACTAATACCATTAGAAAAGTAGTTAGAAAAATCTTTCTATAATATGGTTCGATGCATCTTCATCTGCTCTTTCTAACGGTGAAAACCGCAGGCCTCTATCTAATTCCTATGAAAAGTTATTCAAAAAATGCTCACGGCCACTTATCTCTGAAATGGACATTAGTTAGCAGATTTGGTAAACAAGATGAAGTAGCTATTAATCTTAAAGTACAAGGTATATTAGCACAAATCGCTCAAACATCTTCTCAATTCAGAACTTCAGAAGAAAGGAGAGAATGTTATGAACAATGGTGGTATATCTGTTTATCAAGATATTATTAATACATTTGCTATCGATCAATTTGATAAAAGATTTGAAGATCTAACTTTTAATGCCAGTAATGGGTTTAGTTCATTATGATTATCATTATACATGGTCAAATGATGTGGAAAATAGCATTTAGCCAGTTCTGTTAATAAATGTTATATTGATAAAAATGCTTTTGCTTATGATACTGTAATAGTTATTGATGCTTAAAGAAGTTACTAAACGTCACATAATTGAATTATACCACAACGAAAAAATTCAAAGTACTATTTATTCTTGAAAAATAAAGTTTCTGGTTGAGACAATTATTCGATTTGAAATTTATGTCAATAAAGTTACTTTAGAAGATTAGTTAGCAAAGAGTGATGACATATATATATAAGGAGAAATCTCGATGATAAAATTTACGGTTGGACTAAGGAAATAAAATGTTATGATCTTCAATGAATTTCATATAAAGAATTATGTTTTTTCTTTCATTATTGAATAAAGATTTATCGATTATAAGCTATAAATATGTAATTTTCATTTCGAAACATTTACAGAGTGTCACTAAAATAAACCATTACTAATATTTCGTTTTTGAGTCTATTTGTCCATGAATAAAATATACTGAGCAAATAGAGCTGATTTTTGGATAATATTTTTACAACTTATAAGTACAACAATTGAAGAGTCTGTATCACCATTACACATCAATTATGGATGAAGATAGAAAATGACTTATCATGAATCGTATAGTCAAAACAGTGTAAAATTATTCGTTTGTTATCTCTTATGAAGGAGCATATTCCACTGTCGAACGCTATTAATTTCATATCATGGCTACAAATAATTCTCGGTGTCATGAAGTCATGCTTAAAAGCAGTCAAAACCCATGGCTGTTTTTATTGAAATTTTTACTAAGAGCAAAACATTTTTGAAGAAACCAATTTTGCCCTAAAATCTCGCTTATAAGCACGTTTGACAGTCATTAGATAGTTCTAAAAGTTTCAACAAAAACAAGTATGTTTGTCTCGAGATATTGAATTTTTAAGTAAACTCGGTTTTTTGTAACATGTCTATGGCAAGTGACTATTTATGTATGAACGACATTCTAATAAACTGATCATAACTCATCGCCAGAAATCCATAAGCACAAACACTTTTAAGATTTTTCCACTTATAATGAGACTTCCGATTAGACTCAATATGAGCTGATATAGTAAGTATCAATTCAGGTTGTTCAATCGTTAGAAATAAAACTGATGATAAAATAATTTTCTTTTCAAACTTCAATCTCATTACCAACATTCATTCAAATTTATTTCTATCACAATTGAGTCTGAATTTTTTTTTTTTACAAAAACATCATTCTGTTTGCTGAATGAACGATATAATTAAATATTAATCATTATCATTGATATTATGATTATCATCTAAATAAAATAAAATGAAAAAAAAAAATAAACAAACAAATTTTTATGATTATAATAAAATTTTACCAATATTCTTTTGTATTATGTTCATACTAAAGGGTCTAATACCAAGAAAACGAGCATAATCATCTCCATAATAAACAAATAATTCTTCTCCTGGACGAATTGTTCTCATTGTTTTATAGAACATATTTCGATCATATTGAATAGGTTGTAAATTTTGTTGTTCAACTGTATTAGGACCTTGAAGAAAATAAAAAACAATAAGATTATCAATAAAATTATTTTTCTATTATTCAATACATACAATTAATCTAAATAAAAATACAAAACTATTTCAATGATTGTTTTAGTTTGTTTATATTATTTTGTCAACTTACATATCGCATCCAATTACTATTATTAGGATCACATCCATCAATGATATAAATCATCTTGAAAAAAAAAAATATATATATATATATTTCTATTAATTATACCTTTCCATATTTATCTGCAATACTCCAAGCATAACCTGATTCTTGTGCACTTTTAAAATTTGAATGACGTGTACCCATATAAGGTCCAAAGAAAGTATTTTTTTCAAATCTTTTTGTTGCAAATACACCTTTGCCTGCTTTCAATATAGTTGATGATTTTATAATAATTCCATCTGGACAAGTTAGATCAGATAATCGTTGTGAATGTTTAATTAAAGATTTTGATATCTTAAATGAATAAAAAAAAAAATGTATACATCGTTTTTTTTTTTTGTTTTAATTAAAATTAACTTTTTTATCAGGAATATAAGATTGTTTATGATATGGACAAATATTATCATAAAATTTATTACAATCATCACAAAATAATCGTGCATCATCAAATTCAGATTTCGAAGATTTTTTCTTTGATTTATTTAATTTTAAATCTGATTCTTTTCGTTTTTTTTCTTGATAATAATTTGAAGTTGAACTTCTTTGATCAGAACGATGTTGTTCATACATATTATTATTATAATAAAGATATGCATTATAAAAAACTAAAAGAGAATTATGATTATTATTGTATTGTTTAATACTATTATCTTGTAAATATAAAGAACTTTTAGAAAACATTATTTAATCGTTTATAATTGCATATCGGTATTGAAAATAAAAACAAAAAAAGCAAAATGCTGAAATGTATATATTTTTAGCGGGTAATAAATTTAGAAAATATCTTTTATATCCAAAAATCTGTATGTAATAAACAATCAATTACTGAATAAGTACAAGCCGAAGCAAGTGTCGCTTTAAAAATGAAATATTTCATAATCTCAATAGTAAATAATCGTTTGACAGAAACGTTTTACTTGCACGTCGAAATCAGAGATGTCGAAAGTTCATCGCTATCGCACCGCTTCCGCGGAGATGTTCAAGAAATTTTGTTGACTTTGGACCTTATGATTTGTCCGAACGGGAATAGCTTCTAGTAGTTGGTCAAATTTGTTGAGTCTTGCCCGAGATTCCTTGAAAATTCTCGAGTTTTAAAAATTTCTTCCTAAGAAATCTACCGCCTCTGCATCGCCATGGACGTCTCTGGTCGAAATGTACAGATGATGAATACTTTGAGTTTTATTAGATAAATACTCTAAATACAAAGAAAATCATGACTAGAGATTAATCTTAGTCTAGAGTCCTGTTGTCTTTTTAAATATTACAAACTAGTTAAATAAGTTTATTTTTTTTAGGAGAGATGCTACAATCGTCTTCAGATTCTTAATAATCTTTCTTTTTGAACTAATGATATGGAAAACTTTATTTACGCCCTCAAAACTCAATACTAAAAAATTCAACAATAAGAAACCTTTTAAGTTTCAGGACATGTATACATTGAAAAAAAGTTTCTACAAAAAAATTAAGCTCTTTAATATCTAGACAACATTCCTACATCACTGGACAATAGCGTCGATTCAAAATCTTTTTTTTTATCTAGTAGTATCAATTTCACCAATATTTATAATGCAAAATAGTAGACAAGTAAGAAAAGAACACTTGATATATTCGACAACGTTTTAAGGGTATATTGATTAAAATAATACGCCATCTATTGAATCCTCATACTGGTGGTAATATGTAAAACCAAAGAACACTTAATGGATGAGTGAATGACTGATTTAATCATGTTCCTTTTCTTTCTTTCAATGCTTCGAGAAAGTGTTCATAACTATATATATATATAAATATAAATATTTTTAGAATACTTGAATACCTTTCTTTTCTTTTTTTTTAAATATAAAAATTTTTCTTTTTTTGTTTGGTTTCATAAAAAAAAAAGAAAATGACTCGTCGATTCCATACATTTACAATTTTTATAACAAGCACAACAATAGCAACAGCAGCCGCCGCAACATTTGGTCTGACACGTTTGATTTATCGACGACAAGAGAATTCTTCAAATGAAAATAATACAACTAAACTATCATCCATAGTACTTGAATCAAAACATGATTTAATTGATAATAAATTATCAAATAAAGATAATAATGTATATATACCAATTGAATCAACTAATGCTGTTATAACTGCAATTTATCAACAAGCTTTACATTATATAAAATTAACACATTCAACAAGTACTCATATATATGAACATGGTCTTAGTCATTTAGCTAAATTAAATAATTTACCTTCAATTTATTATTCAATTATTGGTCAACAACTTGATTATCATTCAGCTATAAAATTAGCACGAACATATGAAGCTAATTCAAATTTATTTCCTATTGGTCCACCATATATATTTTCAATTGGAAATAAAAAAATACTTTCTACTGGTAATATAGATAATGTTAATGATGATGATGTACTTTTACATACAATAAAACAATTTCTTGATAAATTAATTAATGAAAAAAAACGTCCATTAGATATATTAAGTCAATATTATCTTAAATTAGTAAGTAAAATAGAATGAAATAAAAAAATTAATATGAAATTCAAAAACAAGAATTGTTTTTTTTTTTATTCGAAAGTTTGCATACAGAGAAGTCTTACAACATACTAGAATATTCTAAAAAGTTTATCTTTCAACATATACCGTTGTCTAAATGATGTATGAACTCAAAACTTTCCTAGTTTTACTAAGAAAAAAATCTAGAATGATTCATCGTTTTTGATATAAAATGTTGCGCTCTACATCATGTAGAAAAAATTCAAAAGTATGACTATAAATCTATACCAGAGATGGACAAAGTCGCACCGCGCCTACGCTACACTAGTCTGAGCTTCGATGAGCGCATGCTTAGAGCATCCCGGTATTCGGTGGAGTTTGAGAAACTGATTGGTAGAGCAAAGAGAAACAGAGATGTGCGTAGCGCCTAGGCGCGAGCAGTGGCGCGGGGAGGCGCGGTGCGATTTTGTCCATCTCTGATCTATACATTTCAATTTAATGATAATTTATTATTTCGAAATTTTCTTTATAATATTGATATTTATTGATTAAATAGTTACAATCCTATATGGATGATATTCATTCTCAAACTGTATTTGATCTTGTTCATCATTTTGAAGCTGAACATGCTGATATATCATCAAAAGCAATAAAACGTTATCGATCAAATCTTGAACTTTATTCAATGTTTCTTTATGCACTTCGTGGTTATGCTGATCGTTATCCACTTGATGTTATAAATTTTAATGGTTTACAAATATTAAAATATTTATATGAAAAACGAAAAGAAAATATACCATTTATAAGATTTCTTGGAAAAATTCTTTTATTACTTAGTCGTGATCAACAAACACATGATGCATTCTATGCCGTTGGTTTGAAAAAAAAAAAAAAAAATTTTTTTTTTTTCTATTTAAAATAATTCTTATTATATTATATTAATTATAGGTTGGGTTAGAATTCTTCATGATATGGCATTAGATAAGAATAATATTATTTATTCATTATTGGCTTCAACTATTTTAGCAAATCTTGATCGACCTATACATGATAAGTATGTAGATTATTTATATCAATAGTATATTTATAATATATATTAGAGAAAATCTACTGTTTTACTAAAAATCACTAGAATAATGCTTTCCGAAACAAAAAAAATTGGGTAAATCCGTGGAATTTCTACGACAATTTAGAAAAAATTTTTTTGTTTTTCGATTTTGATATTCTAGTTAGACGTAACATCGTTAGAGATAATAGTAAAAACTTATTTTGATACATAAAGTTTAGAGATCCAGATCATTTTTTAGGAACAACTCAATATATTTGTAATTGATGTATATTGAGGATCTCAACTATGTTGCAAAATAATGAAATTTTCAACGTTTGTAGAGCTTTTAATTCTAAACATATTGATAAAAAAAAATTTTCCGAAAATCTTTTATTTTGTAAGAAATAGATTGAAAATACTATAAGTAGTGAAAGAAACTAAACAACAATTTGTCAAAATTTCGCAAAAAATCGTTTTTTGGTTTTTCACTGTTCATAGTGTTCTAAGTCTATTTCTGACAAAATAAAAACTGTTTGAAAAAAAATTTTTTTATCAAAATACCTAGAATTAAAAGCTCTACAAACGTTAAAAATTTCATTATTTTACAACATAGTTGAGACTCTCAACATATTCAATTACAAATACATTGAGTTGTTCCTAAAAAATGATCTGGATCTCTAAACTTTATGTATCAAAATCGAAAAAAAAAAACTTTTTCTACAAAAGTGGTAGAAAACCTCACGAATTCACTTATTTCTTTTTGAATTTTTACAAAAAAAATTATTCAGCACATATATATTACTATTACAAATTAAACAATAATCATAAGACTAGTACTCTCGATTGATCAATCATTACATATTGAAAGCGATGATTCTAAATGAAAATTTTTTTAATAGGATTCTAAAATAATCATATTTAAAAGAAAACAAAACAATTTTTTTTTCTTTTTGTTTTTCTAGCACATTAATAGATGAAGGAAAAATTTCCATTAATAAAAACATAAAAACGTTACATCTACCGTCAGAAATTAGTAATCATGAATTAATTGAAGCGGAACAAAAATCAGAAGAAAGAAAAGAAATTTTATATGAAAAAAATCAATCATTATCAAAACAATCAAATCTTATCGATAAATTTATACGTCATATATGGTATACAAGACCAATTTCTGATGAAGATGATGATATAAATGAAAATAATAAAACTATTGATGATCATATTGAAAAGAAAATTTCTGCACCAGATATTGATACAACTCATCAAATAACTGATAATAATAAAAAAATAATAGAACAACATGAATTATCTTCTATTCCATCATGGTTTAATGATCAAGTCTATGGTGATAAAGTAAGTCTATTAAAAATTTTTTCCATAGTTATAGTTAAATCTTATCATTATCCAATCGTATCTTTTTAAAGGTAATATGTTTATTATATAGTTTAAGACTAAATTGAAATTAATGTATCAAAATCAGCTATCCGACAGTATTTATATTTCATTGTGCAGATATATATCGAGGAAAGAGAGCGAAAAAACTATGAAAAAGTTGAGTAATCATTTTTTAATATTTACCCTTGATAATTAATGATCAACAAAAAGAAAAAGTATTCTTCTTATTTTATTGAAAAAATTTCGTTTTATTTTCTCAAGATTATTCTATTCAGTCCAACAATGTATAATATTCAACAAATCGATCCTAATGTACGTTGGCATCAAGAACCAATTATTGATATTATTTTTGTAAGTTATATATTTTCTAAACATATGTATATTTTTTTTCTTGACATTAGTTTCATGGTTTAGCTGGTTCAGCTTTTAAAACATGGCGACAAGAAGTTGAACAATCATTAGAAAATAAAACATTACCAATAACTGATGAATCTCCTATAGAAGAAGAAGAAGAAGAAAATGATGAAGTATTAGAAGTTCGTGAAGAAACAAATTGGAATAAAACAAAAATTGATATACCATCACATTCTATATTACAAATTAATGAAAATCAACCATCATCATGTTGGCCAAAAGATTGGTTAAGTAAAGATATTTCAACATCACATATACGTATGTTAGCTGTTGATTATGAATCAATTGTTTCTGAATGGCAAATACGTTCATTACCAAGAAATATTATACGACGATCAATGTATGATCGTGCAAAAGAAATTGCTGAACAATTAAAACAAGCTGGAGTTGGAAAACGACCAATTATATGGGTAAAATTTAATACAAAAAAAAAAAATTTTCTATTAATTATTTTGTATTTTAAGGTTGCACATTCAATGGGTGGTTTATTAACAAAATATATTTTAACAAATGAAGAAAATCAAGATATAATATCAAATACTCGTGCTTGTATTTTTTTTTCAGTACCACATTTTGGTGCTGAATTAGGTTTGTTTTAATTAATTTTTTAGTAAAATACGAAATTGTTGCATTCTTCATGACCTTCTCTTCTAAAAATTATAAGCAAAAAATTTCTCATTCTTTTTCATTTTATCTGATAATCATATCTTTATAAGAGAAGGTTGGTCATAGAAAATGTGTGTATAGTATTTGAAAACTATTGTATTTAGTTTCTCAGAAATCCTTTTTTTTTTTTGCTCCAAAAAAATTTCGTTATAGAATATATTTAATTAGATAACTCTACAAATCTGAGTTCAATACAATCTATAATCTTTTATGAAAACTATTAGTCGTTATTCTAGAAAAGAATAAGTTTATGTTATTATTTATCTTTGAATGATAAGAATGCATTTGTAAAGATTAAATTTTATATCGTATATATATGAAATTGTTTGCATATTTAAATAGTTATTAGTTTGAATATATATATTGTAATATTCATAAATAGTATTGAATTAAATATTAAAATATTGTTTATATATAATGTTTTAGTATTATAAAAAATAAAAGACTGTATGACATTTGTAGATTATTTTTGATGTATTATCGCTCCTTGATTTCAATGATTGTTTATACGTAACGTTTCGATCTTTCCTTGTCATTCAATGTATCGTTTACTTCTTTTCTCCTTATATTTACATTATCTTCCTGTTTAACTTTCGCTTTTTTCTTTCTTTACGCAAGAAAGAACAAAAACTATCTTTTTCATCTCTAAAAATCATTTTTTTGTAGTATCATCATAAAACATTGCTCTTTTCTATAGGGTTTCTAAAGAAAAAAAAATGCTCCGGTATAGTATCCTTGTCATCAGAATTCTTAATAATTTAGTTTAAAAGCCAATGAAAATAGTTCACTTATGTACGAAGTATTTCAATAAGATCAAATTTTATATGATATAGCAATTCGAAATAGATGTTAACGTTTGTTCAGTCTGTCAGAATCTCACTCATTTCAAGGTTTTCACTTGCGTATAAACATTGTAATTCGAACACAATGGAAAATTTGGGTTACATGAATTTTCGGTCCAGGCCCAAATTCACCTCGTCAATCCCTTAAAAGATACACTTCGTAGTGTTGAGCACTAAGTCTTTCTGCTCACTACTACAGAATGTGCTAACTATTCATTGAAGTTGGAATTTTTTTTTTAACATTTGAAATTTCAGGATTTTTATTTATATTATGTAGCAAAAATATTGTGTTTATAGTCGATCGATTAAATATTTTACTAAGCAATAAAGAGAATTTTTTATTGATTATTTTTAATTTTATTAGCATCATTTGGTATTCGTCATGCATTTATTGTTCGACCAACAGTTGAAATTGAAGAATTAGAACCAAATAGTAAAAATCTTCTTAATTTACATGAAAAATTTCTTGATATACTTAAAACTCATGATAATATAAAAATTTTAAGTTTTGCTGAAAATGAAAAAACAACATTTTCATTACGTTATCAAACTGTTGTTGTAACATCTGAAAGTTCACAAATAAATATTGGAAAATTTTTTATATTAAATAAAAATCATATTTATGTATGTAAACCAAATTCAAAAAATACTCTTGAATATCAAGAATTACTTGATCTTATACAAACAATTTATTATCAACGTAAAAATGAACTTAAAACTGAACAAATTAAATTAACAGAAGATCTTCTTAATAATTTATATACATATTCATCACCTATAGAAGATGATACACAATAAATTTTGTACTGTTAGTTATAGCTCCTTTTTTGTTTCTTCCCAGTGTTTGTTTATATATTCGAATGATGAATATATGTATTTATTTTTTTGTAGAAATTTTTATATTCAAGCTTTACTTTTTTTTAGATCATATTTACAAATATGTAAACTTAAATCAATTTGAAAAACATCTATTGATGAAATCTATATGTTATTAAAATTAGTTATGTCGACTCATTAAGATGGTATATTAGAAATTTTGTTTTATTAATAGAATATGCAGGTAAAATATTAAATCAATAATGAATTAAAAAATTGAAAATGATTACTCAGGATGCTCGGACAACCTTTCGCAACTGAAAAATATCAAATAACAAATCTTTTTTTTTGAAGCAAACAAAAATTTCTCGCAGTTGGACATCTCCTTGAAGAATTATTTACGGCGAGTTTGAAAGAAACTGTTTTGCAATGATTTTGTTACTTTCTTATGAAAACTTCTTTTTTTTTTAATATTAGCTAGAGATTGAAATGATTGTATTTAGGCAGTGATTGATTAACATTAAGAAAATGTTTTTTTTTTTATAATATATATACAGCAGTTTTTAAGTAAATAATCAAGCATCGTGAATGTAACTTTTTAGTCGAAGTTTCACGACTTTCAACTCGTAGTAACGCGAGTCAGAGGTCAATGAGTATGTTTTCCGTAGTAACGAAAAAAAAAGGCACAGGTATGAATGTGTCCTAGTCATCATATGAAGCATGAAATAATCACGTTATTATTGTAAGAAGTAATCTTTATCAGTGCTTCTGACCGCATCGAGATATAGAATAGTGTGTTGAGATCTAATGGATCTGTATAACATGATTATTTATCAGTTAAATCAATGGTTAGAATAATAATAATAATTGATAGATATTTTTCATTTGACATTTTTTTTTTCTATATGTGAGTTTCACATTTTAGCTTAACACAGACTATATCATTTGATTCATGAGAAAAACTATATTATCTCAAGATGATTATTTCGACAGTTGAAAACGATTATAAAATAACGATTACAATCATCATTTCTTTCTGAAAGCTTTTTATATTATTAAGAAAATGAATAAAATAAATTTGTCAGATAAGAATAATTATAATATTTTCATTGAAAATGAAAATTTTTATCTAGAATATTTGGATCATCATCAATTTATTTAACTGAATTAACATTTTGGTTATCAAATATTGGTTTTAGTTGGTTTCTATATAAAAATAAACATCTATTAAAATTTTCAATTAAAAAACGTTTAACATATTCAGTATTTCTTTCAACAATTTTTAATTTTGGTACAATTATGATTATTAATTATATAAATCATTTTTTTGGTCGAATTGAATTATTAAAACTTATATCTAATTTAATATTATCGAGTTGTTTATTATCAATTGGTTATATTTATCTCGATGATTTTTCGAATAATACTATTTAAATAATTATTTTTCTTCTAGATTTTATTCAATAAGAATGAGTAATAGTTCCTATACATTATTGAATAATTCTACTGATAAACTTAATGTTGAAATACCAGTTAAAGAATCATCATCATCATCATCACAAACTTCATCTACAACGAATACGACAAATGATGAAACGCTCAATAAACGTTATATGCAAATAGCAATTGCTGTTATACTCTATTGGTATAAATGGATATTAATTTAATTTTTCTTTTGTCTATACAAAATTCTTATTTAGGTGTGTTTCAATTTCTATGGTATTTTTGAATAAATATTTGTTAAGTTCAACCGATGTGAAAGTAAAAAAAAATTGTGTTCATTAGTTTAGTTTATTTATTTATTATTGTATAATAGTTAGATGCACCACTTTTTATAACATGGTATCAATGTGTTGTAACAGTTGGTATTTGTGCTATACTTGGAAATTTAAATAAACGTATAGCTGCTTTTTCAACATTTCCTTCATTTAAAATTGATCTTAAAATTGCACGTGATGTTAGTAAAAAAAAAAAAGAAAAATTTTGTATCTAAAAAAAACGAATAAAAAGATATTTCTTTAGGTTCTTCCACTTTCAATAATGTTTGTTGCTATGATAATATTTAATAATTTAACTTTGAAATATTTAACTGTATCATTTTATATGGTTGGTAGATCATTAACTACTGTTGCTAATGTGGTATGTTATCAGATTAGAAAATATAATTAATTGAGATCTTTTGTTTTTTTTTTCTATTTAAGGTTTTTACATATTTTATGCTTGGTGATAAAACATCATATAGAGCTTTAGGTTGTTGTTGTCTTATCATTGCTGGATTTTTTCTGGGTATTGATCAAGAAAATGCATTAGGTAAGATAATTATATTCATAGTAAATATTAAAAGTAGAATATTGTTTAGTTTAGAATAAAATTTGAAAACATTATTTACAAGTGAATAATATATGAAATCTATAATCATTATATCTAGTTCTTTAAAATTTTCAATTGAAAATTCTAAAAACTAAGTCTTTCATAATGTAAATATTCTAATTGAAGTTCCGAAAAAATCAATTAATTAGAGTCGAATTTTATTTCTTTTTTGCAAGGAAGATTTCTAAAAAACAATCTGATTTTATACTCCTTACCATTAGTAACAATCAAGAATCTTTATTAAACTAAATCTTACAAGAAGTGCACTAACATCTTTTCAAAAAAAAAACAAACAAACTAAGCATCGATTTACTCTTTTTCTTTGTTTTAATTCATTGAATATAACATATATTCTATTTTTGTAGGTACTCTTTCAGTATTCGGTGCATTTTGTGGTGTAGCATCAAGTATATTTGTAGCATTAAATGCTATATATACAACACGATGTTTACCATGTGTTGATAAAAATGTTTGGCGTTTATGTTTATATAATAATTTTAATGCTTGTATTTTATTTCTTCCATTAATGGCTATATTTGGTGAAATACCAATTGTTTTTAATTATACAAAATTATTCAATATATCATTTATATTTCCAATGACTATTGCTGGTATACTTGGTTTTTCAATGGGTTATGTAACAGGTTATCAAATAAAAATGACAAGTCCATTAACACATAATGTATCTGGTACAGCAAAATCTTATGTACAAACATTACTTGCTGTTGTTATTTATTCAGAAGTAAGAATATGAGAGAAAAGCAAAAAAGAAAAATGATAAAATGTTTTGTTTTAATTGTAGACAAAAACAACACTTTGGTGGATATCAAATCTATTTGTTCTTGGTGGATCTGGTCTATTTGCACATGTTCGAGCAATAGAAATGAAACGAAATCATAATTCAAATAAAACGACTGATGATAATACAAATGTGTCTTTACCGAAATAATTAAATTCCACGAAAAAAAAAATAAATAAGATATTTGACTTTGGATTTTGTTAAAGAATCTCGATGAGCTATTGTTTTTATTAAGAAAATGAGAAAATAGTTCTTTTTTTTTTCTTTTTTGATTAATCATTTTCTTTTCCGTTATTTTATTAACATTAAGCTATTCTACTGTGATCATTTATTCTCGTATTGATTCATTTTTGTTTGTATTCGATAAACAAAACAAAAAAAAAAGCCAACAGAAATTTATTTATCTTATTCACTTTTAGACTTTGAATATTAAATAAAATTTATAAAAATAAAATTAAAGTATCTTGTTTGTTGTCTAGAATAAAAAAAAAACCAATTGAAGATATGTTTAAAAATAATATATTTTGATCTATTTTTTTTTTGTTTTATATAAATAAAATCTATGAAAACATGTTAACATGAGAGAAAAATATAATTCACACACATTTTGACTTTTTTCGTCCGATAAAATAAACTCCACGTTCAAAACAAGGTGAATATAATTGTCGTCTTGTTCGATTAAAATTAATATAAAGTGTATCAAATTGATTAAGAAATTTATCAATAATCCATTTAGTTATTCGTATTGGATGTAAAATTTCAGCATCTTGAAGTACACAATCACCTTGTTGTGGATAATCAAACCATCGTTCATGAAATATAATTAAACTATTATCTTCTAATAAATCATATAAACCACGAAAATATTCTAATGCATTATTAACATGTTCAACAACATTAATTGATATTAATGCTGAATAATATTTTGATGAATTTAAAAATAATTCTTTTTGACGACGTTTTTTCATTAAAAATTCAATTGATTCAGCTATTATTGATATTGGATATCCACGTAGATGACCACCACGATATGCACAATTATTTAATTTCATATAATCTAATGCATTTGGTTCAATAATTGTTATTTGTTTAATTAAACGAAATGGTGTTAATAAATATTGTATTTGTGTAAATGGACCAGCACCTATTTCAATAATTGAATTTATTTTTAATGGAACTATTTTATAACCATGAAAACCTTCAACATGTTCATAAAGACGATCATCAATTGTCATTGGATTTTCTTTCCAATAAATAAGTTCATTATTAAGTGATTTATACCATAATATTGATGGTATTTGTGTTATACCAGTTAAACGATGATAAAAACATAGAAATAAACAAGATGTATTCCATTCTTGTTGTGAAAATTTTGATTTTAAACATTTTTCTTTTGTTTGTTTAATTAGAGAATAAGTCCATTGAATTTTATATATATCTATTGGACAATGAGATCGATAAGTCTAAAATAGATTAGAATTTTCTTTATGTTATGTTTTTTTTTTGTAATAAAAATCGACAGGACGATACACACATTCATAAACTAAGAAGAAAAAAAATATTTATAAATCTTTCAAAATAACTTTCTCTTCTTTAATAATTTTATTTCTTCAATTAGTTTTCTATAAGTATTTTATTCGGTTACTCAAAAAGACAACTATCAGTTAGTTTTGTAAAACAAAAAGTCAAAAACTATGACTATCACAACATGAATTAGCATATAGATTTTTTGTTTTGTTTTTGATATACCTCATTTTTTAATTCTATTTCACATTGATTTCCAATAAATCCTGGATAACAAACAGGTTGATCGAAAAAACATTCACCATGATTAAAAATTACTAATGATGATTTTGAACAATAACATTTAGATTGTAATGAAATTAAATATGTTGTTTTAATATCATCTGAATTTAAAATATGAATTAAAAGAAAAAATCCAACTAATGAAGTAAATAAAAGTCCAAAAGTAACTATAACAGTTGAAATTTTTTGTTGTTGTCGTCGTAGTTGTCGGCGGCACCATTGTCGACTAAATAGTTGCCACATTCGATAGCATTTCATTTTCTGTTTTAATTCCATCGATAATGATTACATCTTTTTTTTTTTTCTTTTACAATTGAATTCCAGCTGAGATCAAGAATGAGACAAAAAAAAGAAAAAACGAAATTCTTAAGTTTAAATTGTATAGAAATTTTAATAGATTTTGTTTTATTTCTAAAATGAATCTGATATATCAATTCATTTTTTTAGTTTGAAAAAATTTTCTTCTATTTGAAACATTTGTTTTTTCTTTTTTTAAATTATGTTAGTTTTTGAATTCTATATTGCATAGCAAATATCAAAAGAAAAAAGTGTTATATCAAAGATGTTCCAAAAAAAACTCGATAAAATTTAGGATACTTGTGAAAATGAACTTAAAATCAAATGTTTAGTCTATTGAAAAAAATTTGCTGATGACCATAACAACATGAAGGAATTATGATAGAATTTTTTTTCAATCAACAATCTACAGTCATTGATTTTTTGACAGTATTGGTTTCATAAAATCTCTGAAATATTCACATTTTTCGGAAATATATTGTATCAAACTTTGATAAATATGTAATTAAATTCTAAAAAATAAATATAGTTAAATCTCGTCAATTATTAAAAGAAACTTTTCGCGTTTTTGTAATATAATTAATATACGAAAAAAAAAGTATTGAATCCTTTCATTAAAACTTAATTTATTTATGGTATGAATTGAAGTTTAGCAATTAAACTTTCGAGCATTAAATGAATAAAAATAATCATCCTGATAATTGATTATATTATTTATAAAGATTTTCATTAAGAAAGTTTCCAATTGAAATTAATATTTAAAAGAATGTAAAATTTATTATTAAATAGAAGACAAGATACTTGTATAAAAACTTATTACAGATGTCATTAAATAAAGTTATTGTTATTATTGGTGCTGGTTTAGTTCGTCATATATCAAAATAATGCTAAAAATGATTATTGTTCAACATTTGTTATTTCAACTGATGTTACAAAACGTGAAAATATTGAAAAAATTTTTCAAGAAACTAAATTAAAATTTAATACAATTGCTTGTTAGATAAATAATGTTGGTTTGGGTATATCATGATCAACGTTTGATTTAACGGATGATGATATTGATATAATGATTCGTTTTAATGTTAAAACAGCATTATATGGAATACAAATAGTTATACCATATTTTCGTCAACAAGGTTATGATCATTTAATAAATATATCATCTATTCTTGGACGAATACCTTATACAACATTTCGTTCAATGTATAATGCATCAAAAGCTGCTCTTAATTCATTAATAACAAATCTTCGTATGGAATTACAAATTGATCCGTGTTGTGAAAAAATTCATGTAACAACAATTCTACCTGGTATGGTAAAAACTAATTTTGCAATGAATGTAATTGGTGATTCTGCACCGAAATCATTAATTGATTATAAAATTCCATTTATTAGACCTTTTCCTCGAACTTCTCAGAGTATTGATGATATTTGTAAAATTATTTGCAATGTAATTCATGATGAAAATCCACCAAGAGAAGTTTATACAAACCCAGAACATGAACCATTGATTAAACAATATTTTGAAAATGTGGGCAATTTTGAACTTCTTCTTAAACCATCAACTTAATGTAAATTACAAAATAATAACGCTTATTAGATTAATACTGAAATTGATTTTATCTTATTAATATTTTCATACATGAAAATTTTCTATTTAGTTTGTATGAAATTATTTATATGTTGACAAGAACTCTTGAGATTACAAAAATAATGTAGAAATAATCCGATGAAATTTTTACCAAATAGACAGAGAAAAAGAGACATCTAATTATACGATAGTTTATCAGATTCCAAAGTCAAATGCTAGAATGTAATGAGATGACCTCGACTGATTGAATCCTATCAATACAGGTCTCAAATCAAAGTACCATAATAAATGCATTTTAACGTATCTATATTAAGATTGATAGCAGTTGATCGCAATATAAGTCCAGGTCGATCTTTTCGACTTGCGAAAACATTCAAAAGCTTGGCCGGCTACTATTAGCGTTTTAGTAGATACAACAAATTCGTTGATGCATTGTCCGAAGTTAAGGACTAATGTGAAACCCTTCTATTTCCTTATTGCAATTTAATGTATTCTAAAACAGTTTTATTTATTTTCATATTTTAATTTCATGAAAAATATTCTGCTTCAACGAATTCAATTTTTTTTTCATCCTAATGAATGAAGCGACCTCTGTATATGACTTAGTTAGGTTTTCTTCATTGTTGGATCATATTCTTAGTAATTTCAAAATGTTTTGAAATCTTTTTTTTTATGATCAGTAAATTATCTCTCAATGAAATATATAATATACAGAGAGTATAGAAATCGTAAAATGTCTTGAGTTCTTGTACTAAAATTTCCAACAACAACAAAAATTTTACTATTCTTTTTTTTTTTGCTGTTCTGTTTCTTCTTGTGGACTTTTGTTTTTTCTATTTAAGCAACATCATTTCTCATCATAAGTTTTCTTCCTACTTGATTGTAGCAATGACTGACACAACCAGTAATAAGAAAAATAATGGTGGCGATGATAATGAAATACCTAACAGGTGTGTAAAGCATTTTGTTTATTTCAAAGTCCATTTTTATTCAGAGTAGTCCCTCAATATTTAGGATTGTGTTGTGATGACTCATCTTGTTTATCAGCATTGACGCATATAATTTTTTTTTATGCTTTAAATGAGAGTTTTACACAATTGCATGTAAAAAGTATAGTTGGATAACATGTACTCTATTAATAAACAAATCTATTCTGTTATCCATTTCAAAATAGAATATACTTCACTGATTTTTGAACAAATTTTGATGAGACCAGCACAGAGACCTTAAATCTTCACTATTCTCAAGAGAGAAGATCTTATGCCATCAAATTATATCGAATTCTCATAGCTTTCAATTCAGACTTTGAATAGGACTGCTCGAAAGAATAGAATCCTTCTCTGTCGAACTGCACAAGACAGTCGTTTCTAACATTCTCCGTTCGAGAGTTATATGGCTTTTCTTGAGAACTTCGATTGTAGTCTATTGATCTGTAACCACTCGAAAAAATCAACTAGGCAAGAATAATTTACGATGCATCCAAAGGCAAACAACTTGAGGATATCGTTTTCAAAAATCTCCATTAAGGATTTACCTAAATGATCTATAATGTTTCTATCAAAAGTTATTGAGAGAAAATAATGAAGCATATTATATTTTGAAATGAATAATAGTTTCTTAATTAATTCTAGAATTGTAACTAAGAATGGGAAATAATATTTTCCGTCGAAGACATGGAATAGTTGGTGTGAAAAACAGGTATAGAATAATTTTTTATTCATTCTTCAAATCAAAAGAAAAAAAAAAACTTATTGAAGATTGAATAAATATTTTGTTAAAGGAAGTGAGTTTTCAAAGAAAAACTTGAAGATTTTTTTTTTTACATTTATTAATAGATTACTTTAAAATAATAGTTTTAGTTTATCAATCTCATTTGTTAACATTATTCTTAAGATTGACATAATAAATATAAATATCGATTCATCATTGTCATGAAGGGTTGACCATTTATTTTTTGTTTTAGTAAATCTGAGAAAACCACTAATCCGGAACCTTCCAGCAATAATAATGAGACAACAGAAACGACTGAAAAACCGACTAATGTTAATAAACCTATTGATCCTCATGTGTCAGAAGGAAACAATGACGTGATTAAATCTTCTAATTCTGATGAAACTGAAGGAAATAATGAAGCGAATGAACCTTCTAATGATCAACAAACTGACAAAACAGTTCAATCACAGATATCCGTCGATCATAATAAAGTTGAAAGAAAGAATGATGTAAACACATCCTCCGGTCACAACGAACCTGAAGAAACGAACGAATCGACTATACCTTCTAATAGCAGTCGAGTAGAGGAAACGAATAATTCAGTTTCATCCCATGATCCCAATGAAGAGATAAAAATAAATCAAGAAAATACAACCTCTAGACATAATGATCTCAAAAGAAAGGTTGATTCAGAGGCTAGTTCGTCCAATTTTAATGAAAGTAATAAATCAGGTAGTTCAAACATATCTTACAGTGAAGATGAACCTGATTTGCTTGAACCCGTATTAAAAATAGAAAAACATCAAAATTTAATTAATCGTCTTCTTGGTTGTGTTTATGGACAAGCTCTTGGTGATGCATATGGTCTATCTACTGAATTTGAAAATCGCGATGATGTTGCGTATAAATATCCAGATCGTTCAAAGATAATTCCGTTTCCAGATTATATCCTCACTGGACATAATAGACGATGGACAAGAGGTGATTGGACAGATGATACAGATCAATGGATATTAATTCTAGAAACATTAACAGAAACTAATAATGATGAACCTAAAGAGATAGTTTTTGCTAAAAAGTTAAAGAATTGGATTCGACATGGATATTCAGAATTGGGTGATTATGGTGGAATGGGATTAGGTGCCAATGTATCGCAGGTAAATCTATTATTGTCTGAAGTTCTTCAATGAGATAGATAGAGGAAAATTATTATTAAATTGAAATAAAAGAATATTTGAGAAAAAGAAAAAAAAAACAATGAATTTTTCTTTGTAACAATGGTAAAAAACTTTAAATATTGAATACTTTCAATGTTTTAGACTTTATAGTTATTTATTTTTTCAATAGGTTGTTCATTTTCATGATTATGTTAACGATCCACTCACAGCAAGTAAAACAGTATGGGAACGTGGTAATCGTCAAGCAGCACCAAATGGAGCTGTTATGCGTTGTTCAGCATCGGCATTTGTTCATTTTAACGAT